GAAATTGGTATCTTTAAATACCTCTTTGGGTGTAATTTCGTCTATTTATAATCAGTATCAAAACATTTGGTAAACGAAAATGATTTATTTTGGGTCAGCTTAAAATTATTAAAATAGGTATTGATTACAATAATTTCATTATGTGTTATTCTCATCAATCGTACTGTATAATCTATTCCTACTTTTATAACACATATATTTAAGAATATCTATTCTCTATAATTATTTTAAAAGGAAAATTTTCACAATTGCTAAACTTTGAAATTTATAAAATAAAATCACGGCCTATTTAATAAAAAATTCGAATAAAGTTAACATGAAGAATGGACGAGTTTATCGTAGAATACCGAATGACTAGCACGGAAAATAAATTAATTTATTTGGTATTTTAACATCAGGTAATTGGAGAAGTTAAAAATTAAGAACTACGTGGTTGAAAATTTGATAATTATTATAAATTCTATAAAATATATAATTGAAAATAAATTTAAGAAAAAAAGAGTTTTAGAAATATGAGATTAGATGATACATCAGGTATTTTAACATTAGGTAATTGGAGAACTATTTTATTACTTGTGGAAATATGAGATTAGATGATACAAATTCTTCGAGATGAGTATGACAATGTGACAGGGTTAGAAAGGCCCTCCTTGTAATTAATATAGTCCATATCCTTGTCACTATTTATGAGCTGTCTAAATAATAAATACTGAAGTCTAGAAGAAAGCACGACAAATAAGATACCTAACTTTTTTTTTTTTTCTTTTGATAACAGATACCTAACTTTTGCTCCTCTTGAATTTTAGTAGTTAGTAGTACAAATGCACAATAGTTAATATTAGGCAACAGCAAGAACTGTTAAGACTTAGGTTAGGTGAATTTTATTGGGAGATTAGTCCAATGCTTTATATATTGCTTATATTTCGCTATTTAATCAAAGTGAAATTATTCTTTAAAAATTAACATTTCGTACTAGACGATGACTCGTATTAAGACTTGATGTTTCATCTTAAAATGTTAACTCAGAAAAGTAATCCAAAAATTTATATGTAGCTCTGGTTTGTTGCTAAGTCAAAGTCAACAATTTATTTTAACTACATATTTTATAGAATACATAATTTTTTAATAACACATTTCAACAATTTTATCAAGATCCAATAAAAATTCTATTTTAGCCCATATCAAATAGGGGCATATTATATTAATCTATATTTCAATATTAATCAACGTGAAATTTATTTCTTAACAAACATTAAGCAGTACTATCCAGTAACAGTCAATCTAAACACATCTTAAATGCATTAAACATATGTCAAGACTTCTTTGATCATGACATTTTTTTTTCAAATTATTAACTGGTTTCATAATTAGTAGAGATTTGCTTCTTTCATAGTTATTCATAAATATTAAATAATATCTGATATCCCTTTTAGGCCATATTTGGTACAGATTAAAATCAGATTTTAATCTAAATCAAAGTCAAACAATCAATATTAACCACATCTTTCATGGGTCCTACAACTTTTCAACCACACATTTTAAAAAATTCTATCACAATCTACTAAAAATCTATTATGGTATGTTTTAACATGGATTAGATAATAATATAAGGAAGAAGAATAAATCAACATTTGATTCATTTTGTCGTATATATGTCTAACATGCTCTTAATTATAACTTATAAAGCACAAATTCCTGGTCTAGACAAGTGCATTCAATCATCTATGCACTCATCACATAATCTTCACCAAACAAGTAAACCATTCTTTCTGATC